TGGCCTAGGAGGATGTACAATGGGTCACATGAGGCCTAAGTGCTGTGGACCTTCATTCATCCTCCCTACTCTACAGATACTGAAGTTGAAATAATATTTTTTTTATTAAAGGACCAAAGTGGGCATGTCTTGCGAGAGCTAGAGTACTCGTTTTAGGACGCATTTTCCCCCCTCTGGGACAGTTATAAATATTGGTCCTACAGTTCCGGAAGGTAGGACTATTTTTTTTAAATTTCCACCTCTTTCTGAATCTGTTTTCAAATTTGAAAACATCAGATAATTTTCGAGTTATTTTCAAAAATCCGAACCCCATATGTTTCAGTTAATTATTTTTGCAATTTTTGTAAGTGGCACTTGAATTTTTTCAAAAATCATCTGCACACTATTCAGAATCGAATGAACTGAAAACACTCGTTGACAGTTAACTGAGTCAGCAACTTTTTGGGCTAAGGCTAAGTGATGTATTCCGTTAAAAATATGACAGGTCAACAATCACCAAAACTGGGCAAACAATAATTTTTACTATTCAAAGAATGACGTTCAAGTATCAAAAATTGTATCAACCATTATCGATAATCATTTGAAATACAAATTATCATTAACCAACATTGATTTAATTGATGATTTTGAAGTCCTGACCGGAAACTATAGACTAAATAATAAACAAATAATCATTTCGGCGAGTGAGGAATTTGTGGATATAATGAAAACAATTTCCAATATGGACCAATATCATTAATTTGTTATATGCTAATACTGAAAAAAGGTTATCACGCATACAAACTTTGGAACAATAGTAGTTCAAACTGGATTATACTCGTTGTAGAAACGGAGTTTCACAAAATCAGCACTTTAATCGAGTTTTAAAATAAAATTTCGAGAATAAAGTCAAAATTTCAAAATTAAAGTCAAAATTTCGAAACTAAAGTCGAAATTTTGAGATTAAACTCGAAATTTAGGGATTAAAGTCGAAATTTTGAGTTTCAAGTCTAAGTTTCGAAATCAAACTCGAAATTTTAGGAATAAAATCGAAATTTCGGTATTAAAGTTGAAATTTCGAGTTTTAAGTCAAAAATTCAAAATTAAAGTCAAAATTTCAAGACTGAAGTTGAAATTTTGAGATTAAACTCGAAATTTCGGGATTGAAGTTGAAATTTCGCGTTTCAAGTAAAAATTTCGAAACCAAAGTCAAATTTCGTGATTAAAGTCGAAAATTTGAGAATAAACTAGAAATTTCGGGATTAAAGTCGACTTTTTGAGTTTGATGTCAAAATTTCGAGATTGAAGTTGAAATTTCAAGATTAAAGCCGAAATTACGAGTTTGAAGTCATAATTTCGAAATGCCTCAGCCTCCAGATTTCACAGATTTCATCAAAAGTGAAATTTCCATCAATACTATAAGTATCTTTTGGAAGATAGTTGTTTCCTGTGGATTGTATCTGCAAAAAAATCTGTGCATGATCTACACATCTTTGTGCAGAAGTAAAAATCAAGGAGGCTTTATCGCCCCCCCCCCAAAAAAATAGAAACATCAATCAAAATTGAATTTAATGACTAAAAATGTCTTATTACATGACACCTTTTCATTGAAGAAATAACTTGATGAGAAATAAAAAAAAAATTGAAGATGTGATGAAAATTTTTATACAGGGTTATTCTAAATTTCACGCCATATTTGACGGACAAACTCATATGCCTTTTTCTCGTAAAATGATAAAGTACGACCAAGGTCATGTGCTCGCCTGAAATTTAGTCGTTCCAGTTATACAGGGCTTCATGAAGTTGAACAATGAAATATATTTTTTTCGTTGTAGTTGAATGAATCTCCACAAAACGACTATGAGCTGGCATGAGCTTTTTTCAGTGGTGTGGTTGGTACTGTGCTTTTGAACAGAGGCGTTCCAGCAGGGTTATAGCTTAGATTTCCCAGCTATTTTTAAATTTTTTGTACAAGATTATATGGAAACTGAATAAACATTGACTATGAAAAAAAAACCATAGTTTTAACGGAAATTTAGGGAGAACTGAAACTTTTCAAATGGGAGAACCCACTAAGAATCAATCAAAATAACTCTTTTATCATCTCTACATAAATTTTGTGCCGGCAAAATAGTTTTATACGGCATTATATCGTATTATTTTTTGCAGATTCAACCTATCGAAATACCCTATACAGGGAGTTTTCATTAGGTACGAGTATTATTATATAGGTAGGTATAGAATATGTATATACATGAATTGATAATTTTGAAACATGTGAAACAACAAAATCGAATAGACCATGAAAAAATAGTTTCATATTTAAATTTCACGTTTACTACGGTACAAATAGTGTTACCTACATTAAATAAATAAAGAAAAATCATTTTATATTTAATTGAATAACTTACGAGAGCCCATAAATGAATTCAGTCACATTCAGTATAAATTCATATACATTTAGTAGTTTTGATAGATCCTCATAGGAAGTAGATTTATAGGAATAAAAAAGTCTTGAAAAGAAATACTATCTCATGAATATTTTGGGTACAATCAAAGACTGAACATTTCTGAACAAATATCACAAATTATTGATCTTAACACCAAAAGGTGGCAGAGTTAGTCATAGTTTTGAGTTTTAGTATGTTCTTGGCTTGAGCAATCCACACTTACCTACTGGTTAGTTTGTCCAATTTAATATCTTAAAGAGAGTTGCATTCATTTATAATGTCGAGTGAAATTTTTCGAGTTTATTATGCAAGTATGATGTAAGAAAACGAAAATATTACAAGTTTTACATTGATTAAGATTACATGCGATAAAAGAACTCGTTGAATAAGACCTGCTGCATCTCTTTTCAAGATCATCTTATATAAAGCAATATTTGATTTAGTTTTGAGCACAAAATGTTGATCATGCATTTTTCTCTACTAATTTATGCTTAGTATTGTAAACCCTTTCTGAATAATATTTGTTCCTACTAATTGTTTTGATTATTTTTTCACAGCAATACGATGTCTTGATTTCTTAAAAATTAGTGAATACAACTGCTTTAAATGCAAAATCTTTAACGTCACAGTTTTCTCTTTTCTGGAGTCCTCAGAAATGAAAATTGATTTGATATTTCATCACTGATAAAAACACTTTGTATATTATTCTTTCTAGCAGTATAGTGTTGAATTGAGCGTAAAAATGTCCCCTTCAAGTTTTGAAAACTGTCAAGTTGATTGAAAAAAAAAAACACAAAGGGGTGCTTTCTCTAGTGATTTTTAAAATGTTTTTCCGTTCTTTATACTTCCCGAAAAAACTGTTGAACATTGGCAGAAAAATAAATTTCATTAAAAAATGTAAAACCCACTTATTGATTTTGTTCGGAATCAGAATCGGAAAAAAAGATCGAATGGCCTACTTTTTTATCAGATCCTTTGAAACACAACCTTATTTTACAATCAAAAATCCTAATTTCACGAATGAACAATCCCAATTTTGCGATTGAAAAATCCGACCATTAGAAGCAAGGCAAGCCTCTGAATCTCTGTACCTCAGGGCTATTTTAATAAAAAATAAATACATCTGAAATACTTACCCTAAGTTATTGTCCTCAATACTATCGTACAAGAGCGATGACAAATAAAATTCTCTTCGATTTTTACCACGATATATGCTCATTGTCACATAATCCAACACAAAAAAAGGTTCTCAAAACCAGTAAAAAACTGGTAAAAAAGTCCACGAAGTAGGTACAAAAGATTTAAAAATGTTCTATTATATTTTCATATCGAATGTTTGACGAAGTGATTCCCTCTTTTTCTGTCAACACAACACTAATTGGACACAACTGACCAATCCAACGACTAAATTGAAATACGATTAAACATAAAATAAACACAACTTTGCAGGTTAGCTTTTTAAAAGGAACGAATTGAGGGGACATGGTGAAAAGCGCATGCCCAAATTGCTAGTGTCATCTACTACAAAGAAGTTGAATCACATAATAGTAAAGTTGAGTCAATCTCGAGTCATGAATAATAGACGAGAGATTCAGTGACTTGTACGTTAGGCGATTTTTTTAAATTCAGTTTTAAATTTCTAATTGATAAATTTAAGAACTCGTCTATAGAGGAGTACATTGGACATGCACACATTTTGTTCACGAAGTATGTTCTTTTATATTCAAAAAACATGATTCGTGAATTGAGCGAAAAACTCTCAGAGTTCTATGACTGACTTTCGATGAGTCAATAAATTTGGAAATTTTGGAAGTTGATTTTCAATACCTAATTTCATAGTTCGTCGAGTGAGTTTGAATTAAGGGATACTGAACACAGAATAATACCTCGAAGAAATATACATCGACAATAACTACTCAGATTACGCGAAATGTAGTTTTTTGATAAAATAGGTAAAAAATATTCGTGATGGATCAATTCACTTTTCAGTATTTTTCAAGAAGGTTCCTCATTGTCAATTCGTAAATAATAAAATTAAAAAAATAATTTGATGCTTACAACCAACCTATCTCTAGATGACGTTGCTTATATTTTTCGAAGGTTACCAAATTTTTGGATTTATTCCAAAAATAATTACTTAAGGCATGCGTCTGGAAAGAATGGCCTGATATTCAGCTTGATAGCAGGGTTGCCAGATATTTGGAAAAATCTCCATATTTTGTGAGGTTACAAAAGATGAAAAAACTAAAAATAACTTTCAGTTCAGTACCATCATTTCTGATAATTAAATATGGGCAATGATTTGTTACTTGATATCACACGAACAATTCAGAATCTGGAAAAGGCTTATTGTTGAAGTGAAGTCGATTTTAAATACATATTTTTTATGAGAATATTTCATTTTAGCAATGATACATTTTCATGACTTTGTCAGTGGTAACCTAACCAAATAATATTTATTTCAAATGAAAAACTTGTGAAAACAAAACATTCAAAGGTGTATGATATACAAAGCTTATGTATACAGATAACCAGTGTGATTTTTTATTTTCAAATGGGGAATTTTCAAATTTTGATCTGGCAACTGTGTCATGAAACTGACATTTGGTTTTTGGGACTGTTTTGACGTTTGGCGATTTGAAGTTTTGGAGCTGAAAAAGTAAAAAATGTAAATAATAGAAGATAAACCAATACAGTATGTTATATATAATTTTAGGTCCAACTGATAATTAATTATTTGTGCCTCAAGCCTGTTGAACCCCATTTTAAGGTATAATTACATAGTAGTATATTTCCAAATGTAAATCCATATAAAATATCCATATGTTACCAGTGTGGGATAACCAAGCAAGCTTCAATATTTCAGGCCATGAGTATCCCAGAAAACAGACCAGATTGTTCGTACCAATGCAGATCTAAGCAACATGGAGATATAATCACAGCTGCGATATCGAAACGGAGCGTATCAAACACTGACCTGTGCTCGTTTCTGAATTTTATTTGCTGCAGATGCGAATCTGTGGTAGATTCGGCAGGAAGGACAGCCCTACACGTCGCAGCTTCGTGCGGAAGGGTAGAGCTTGTCAGGTGGTTAGTTACTAGTCGACACGCAGATATCAATGCGAAAGATAGAGAATCTGGGTACACTGCCCTGCACAGGAGTGTTTTTTATGGCAAAATCCATGTGGCAGTTGAACTGGTGAAGTTAGGTGAGTTTTTGAAATGTTGTGCAATTCTGTTAATCTGAATGAATATTATTATTATTATTCTAATGAGACTATAGTTACATTTCGAATTACCATAAATTTGTTCCAACTATAAAATAAAATAGTAGGTCTTTGTTTTTGTACTTACTCAGGAAAGGAACCTATTCATCCGTTTATGAGAATCATAAGCCAACGCAATTTCTAACTATAAATATTGTTTCTCTGAGTGAAACAGAAACATAAAACAGGTGTGGCGGTGATTCTATACTTTTTACACAATTAATATTCAGAACTATCAATAACTATTGCTTATAGTATTCATAAATGCTGAAATATAGTAAAATAATTTCTCTGTTGCTTTGTAGATTTTAATATCCTACTAAGTAAATTTAGATGTATGAGGATGAAGCATACACTCAAAGTGTACATTTAGTTTCAATTCTTTCTATCTGCTCTGTTACTTTATTTTTAGGAGCTTCAACTGCAGAGCTGGATTCAGACAGCCTCACTGCCTTAGAACATTCAATGAAAGATGGTTTGAAACCTGAGCTGTCACGGGAAGGGGAACTTTATTCTTGGGGTTCGAATACTAACAACTTACTGGGACCACAACAAGCGAAACAAACCCCTGAACTATTGGATATTTTTCACAAGGAATATCCTGGGGAATATGTTCAAAGCATTTGTATCTCTCAGTTTCATACTGTTATCATCACTAGTTCAGGTAGGTTTAGAATTTTGAGGTTTTTTAGGTTTTAATATTTTGGTTCTCAAAAAATTCGTTGTATTTTATTACTATTTTCAAATTATATTTGTATTTGTAAATACCGTTTATCTAGACACTAATAAATCATGTAATGAAAGAAAGATTCATTTATTAAATACTATAAGTTTACTGAAACTAGGACCAAGTATGATAAATAGGTAAATAATTTCTTATATCTTTCATCTATTGAGAGCACTTTTTCCACACCGGAACAAAAAATAAACAAAGAGTAATCAACATTTGGAATAATAACATAATGAGTTATACTAGAAATAAATTAATGTAATGACCCCAACTCATTATGTTAGGAGATGGTTTATGGCCTTAAGATTGATTTTAAATTTCCTGATGATCTCCTAATGATGCTAACTTGCTTAGCTAAACGCATGTTGAAATACAGTATTTTTGTTCTGGTGTAAAAAAAAATGTTTGCAATAGACTCATTTCACTTCAAATTATATTGATTTATCAATTTTCAATATTTTTCTTGGGAGCTTTCAGAAATAAATATATAGTGGCATAGAGGTTTCATTTAAGGTAAAGCGTTTCTTTCTATATATTATATTCTTGTTTCTCAAAAACAAAACAAAGAAAGACATTTTTAATGTCACTTTGAGCATACATGTATGATTCTGACCGGAGAGTGGTTCTTTGAGGAACTCCATGTTGATGTCTGCTCACTGGATTTTTTTTTCAATTTTTTACCTCCTACATTATATCTTTTTTGCTCTAATAAGAGTTTTATTCCTTGAAGTGTTTCTCCTGTAGGTAAAGCCTTATCCTGCGGACATGGTCAAGGTGGACGATTGGGACTTGGAGACGAGAAAGCTGTGGTATCTCCACATACCATTAGTTTCAGTAGGAGCCAGAAGGGAGATACTGTGACTTGCCTTCAAGCCAGTATTGCCAGAGACCACAGTATTTTCTTGTGCTCTGATGACAATGTGAGTAATAGAAAAGTAAAGTCACATATGGTAGACCCCATCTTTTAGTTATCAATATTACTGTAGTTTTTTCCCAACACCAAACCGTTATTTCAACACCTCTACACGTGTTTCGATCATCAAGTGATCATCTTCAAGAGGAAGATTGGAGATTAAACCATCAACATAATTTAAGTTTATTATTGGCTTTTAATCTAATCAGATACTTAAAAAATTAGGACAATAAAAGTTGAATGTAATAAATAGTGCCAAGAGAATGGTTTAGAAAGGAAATAGTTTATAGACTAGTAATAATTATTTTTTTCTCAATAAATAGTTCAGTTAGTGGATAATATTGTATATAAAAAGTCAGTTTAATCTATTAATCCTATTAATCTATCAATTAGCTTATTCCACTAGATATCTAGGTCAAAGCATTCCAAAGTAGAGAAAAATTCGGCTGCACTGACTCGTTAGTTGTTACTGAGAGCCTGTGACATTACTTTTGTCAACTTCACTGAAGATGTCCGCTGCAGCAGCAGACGAAACTTTTGCTTCTACAAATTCCTTTAAATTTGGTTCTACAAGTTTTTTTTTTTTATCACAGCTTATCATCACGGAGGTTTTTTCTGGGTTTTTCAACGTTCCACAATCTAATAAATGAAGAAAGCTGAATCAACAGAGAATTTGTTGAAGTTTAATAAACTGTTATGGCAGTATATAAACCGAACGAGCTACTTTAGTGGTTTATATCTTTCAGTAACTTTTCGGAAAGAAACTTTTCAGTTCCTTTTTTATTACATCTTAGCAGATTATGAGTGCATTTTCCAAATAAACTTTACACGAACTTTCAAGACTTAGACATTTCAGGTTATGATTTCCATTTCTACTCAACTTTTCAATTTCTCTCTCAGGACCAGAAGAGTCGGTGAGAAAAATCAGTTCCGAAACTCAAAAATAGTGGTTTAGTTATTGAGTGAACCGTAAAATAAAAGAAGTTCGGCCCTAGAACGATAATTCGCGAAACACAATTTACGAAGTCTCGTCCAGTATTTATGAAAGCCTATACCCCCTATTTCTTCCAGATATATACCTGCGGCCTGAACACCTACAATGTCCTCGGTCAGTCGCCTCCTCCTGAGAGGGCTCTCTTCCCGAAACCGATTAAGCACATTTCCAAACAAATACAAGGCGTTTGTGCCGCTCGATACCACTCCGTAGCCTGGGGTCCAGATGGTCTCTACACGTGGGGCCTGAATGCGGGTCAATTGGGTCACACACTCAACGCCAAAAGCAGAGACCGTTTTGTCGTCTCGCCTAGGATAGTAAGCGTCACGAACGACTTCGGTATAAAGATGGTGGAGGCTAGTACCGGGGCCACGGCGGTTTGCACGCAGAAGGGGGACATTTATGTTTTACATGAGTACCTATGTAGGAAGGTTGCTTCGAGGTAAGTGTATGGTTAAGGGAGGTCCTTCGAGCCGGATCGTGTTAGCATCCGGCTCGAAGGACCGAAATGTTCGATTATCCCAGAAAATGTTTCATTTTTTTTTTGAAAAATTGAACTTCACATTTCAAAGAGTTTATTATATTTCTTTTGATATGTTTGATCTGTTTTATGTATTGAAGTCAGTTCTCACATTGAAGCTTATAACAACTATTTATATTGCAGTTCTAGATTATCCTAGAGGCGAATTCAGTTAGTCCTGTCTCTACATATATAATTAATATCTTCGAAATCGATAATTTGTCTAAAAATTTTCCTAAAAAAAATTCTTCGGCGGAGTTGAAGATCAAACTGTATTCATGTATACAACTTTAAGATAAGTACTCTCTTAACTAACGAGCTTCGATACTTCAATTTTCTAGCCATACTTTTTTTCTTAACTATCGTTTTTTGCCAACCAAGATGGCTTTTTTATACAAGACATCATTTGGAGCAGAGCTCTTCACGTTTTATTGATAAAAGTTTACACTTTTCCACACCAAAAGTATATTACTTGATATGATTCATCATTTGAGAGTGTGATTTCCAATTCATATGATGAACCGTTTGATACCAACAATAGCTGAAGAGCCCGATATCTAGATAATGATTCCGCAAACAAGTAATTCATTCAGGTTTGTTACCAAATGTTTAATTAATTTTCAAAGTCATTAACCTAGCCTAATCTAAGCCCTATAAATGTTCAAGATCAGTAACATTAAGAATATAGAAATTAACGTGTTTTTAGGTTGCCACCAAAAATCTCTAGAATCATCAGCCAGACCCCATATATTTATTTCTTGATTGTTTCAGAACTTCAGTTTTCTTTCTATAGTACCGTAATAAACTTTCCCAATTTATAGACAACTGAACGTAGTGCAAATAAGCATCGTCGGAGGTAAACTCGACTCCACCCAGTTAGACAGTGAGCTCTCCAAAGAACACAGCAAGGAACTTAAAGTGGGAGTTCTCACCAACACTGGCAACATACTGTTGTGGCAAGAATCGGACCAACAACTCTGTAGGTGCATCTACAACATCAACAGAGCCATCGTAGTTAAACAGATTTCGTTGAACCTCAACGAACTGTTGTTTGTGTCAGATTTCGGAGAAGCCTTCAAAGGAATCGTTCGGGCTAGGCGGAAGAATACTACGAGCTCATCGTCTAAAAACAGTCAGGACAAGAGTGCATTTCACAAGTTTTTGGACAGAGACGAGTGCGTGAAGGTTTCGTTGGAGAAAGTAGCCAAGATTCACAGGGCGGTTGCCATTCAAAGTGATCTTAAAGGAAAAGATTATTGCGTGATACAGGTGAGTGTATTACAGTGTAAGTATTTTCGCGAGTAGATTAACAAAGGCGTATCTGAATCAGAAAGTGGTGTGGAATCCACTTAGTTTTACTACTTGTTTGATGAAAAGTATTATACTCTATTCGGTAGAGGGGTCCAATCGTTCATTAGAAAGTAATAATGATTTTTTATGTTATTCGAGATGGTTAGAGACTGAGAAACACAACTTGTCGTCATCCCCACCCCGCTGCATCTTCCGCCGTCTCTCAAAAACCGAAACGGGCTATATTTCTACCACAACTAATAGTACAGAAGGTACAAAGCAGCAAAGAAGGGCTCTACCTTGTATTTGCTGCCTTGCTTGCAATTTCAATGGCTACTTCAGCAAAATAGTCAATATTGAATCCCATTGGACCGTTTAAATTTTACGAAAAACTGATTGTAGTAGATATGCTTCCAGTAACGTTGTTGAGATGTATGTTACCTTCAAATTGCACATTTCGAAAAGTTTTCCATTCCTGAAAATAAGAGATGAGGATAAAACTGTGGTCAGCAAAAAAAGTTATACCACAAGTATTTGATAATTTCTTTTCATATATTTCACAGTAAAAATGGCATTAAAAATTTAATAAAAACCACTTGATTGGTAAATATGTTAATTCCTAAAAATTAATTAAAATCTAAGTGTTTTGTACATCAAATTATTATATTCCTATATATTGAATTCAAAGAAAATGACTCCTACGGTGCCATTTTCAAAAGAAATAGTCACTTGTGTTGTTATTGAAAGAATAATTTTATATTGTATCAAATGGATAACAATATGTAAAAAAATCATAACTACCTGATTCAGTGTGGGGCGTTGAACTCTACTGTTGTACCCATATTTCCTCCTCTATTATTGAAAATTCCGTTTTATAATTTCAGGCCCTTCCGTACAGAAGCATCTCATTTCCGGAAATCGCGCGTTAAAAAATCATAACTACCTGATTCAGTGTGGAGCGTTGAACTCTATTATTGTACCCATATTTCCTCCTCTATTATTGAAAATTCCGTTTTATAATTTCAGGCCCTTCCGTACAGAAGCATCTCATTTCCGGAAATCGCGCGTTCGCATATGAAATCTGACCTAGAAGCGCTCATCGCGGATGTCGACGAAACTGACAACATTCACGACGTCGTTTTCAAGGTCGACAACTGCTATTTCCCAGCTCACAAGTACATTCTATCCAACAACAGCTCGTATTTGGAAAAACTGATGGATGAAAACAATAAAACCATAGTTTTGAACGACGTGAACCCCGACGTGTTCGAGCAGTTCCTCCTTTATGTCTATAAGGGCGAGTGTGAGCTCACTAAGTGCGGTGAGCTCAAGAATGAGCGCCTGCGACGTTTGTGTCCGGTGAAAGAAGAGAAGCCGGACGAAGTGTCGGAAATAGAGAATGTACCTGCAAATATTTCGGCCTACGAGTATTACAACAAGAAGAAAACGGATGACAAAGGAACGAAACTGAAGAATAAAAGCTCGAGGAATCCGGTACGTTTACTGCACGAGCTTGCTAAGAGATTCGAATGCTTAGTCCTACAGAAAACTCTCGCCAGGCTGGACATGGACAAATACTTGATTAGATTGAAGCAAGATGGTTGCGCGGTTCGAGAAAACTTTCCGACGTTCAATAGGTTGAATTTTCCTAATTTGTATGACGTTTTGGTGAAATGCAGGGACAACAAAGAGATCAAGGCTCACAAGTGCATCTTATCTGCGAGGATGGAGTATTTCGCCAATATGTTCTCCTTGCGGTGGGGAGGGGTAAGTTTGATATGGTTCTTTTCACAACATTTTTTCCCAAGATTCACTTGGTAGGAGATGAATGTGTATAAATTACTTCATAATTTTCTTTGTTACTCATTATTTTTCAGATTAAGAAAAGTTGAATACCAAGAAACAGCAAGATTATATTTCAAGATTCCAAAAAATAATAAATCTACCTCATTTTCATCGATATTTCTCGATCTAATGGTATAATAGAACTCAAAATTTCGAGAAAATTTCAAGTCAAAATCTTGATTATTTTGATAGTTAATTTGCATAAGAAAACTTCACGATGGACGGAAAGATATAATTAAAACAATATTATCGGTGATTTTCTCCAAAGCAACCAAGGGTCTTAGTATTACAAATGCCAGGGAGAAAGGCAAATATTCTAGACCAGTGTCTGTGATGCCATATATTCAAAATGCCAATTTCCTTTTCTTCTAGGAGCAGACCACTGAAGTGTCGCTACCGTTCCCAAAAAGCACCGTTGAAGCCCTGCTGGAGTTCCTCTACACAGACTCCTTGTCTACTCTGAGTTCCATCGAAACCGATCATCTTTTCAAGATCCTGGTCCTGGCCGACCAGCTCTTCGTGACGAGGCTCAAAGATCAATGTGAACGTCTCCTTTCGGACAACCTCACTCTAAGGAACGTAATTCAGATCCTCGCTTTCGCTCACGTTTACAACGCAGAAAAGCTCAAAGTCTGCTGCATGAAGTTCATGGTGCTGAACATGACGCCTTTGCTCGAATCCAGAGCGTTGGATGAGTTGGAGGAGGAACTTTTGAAGGAGTTGTCAGAGTTTTACTTCCAAGAGAAACGCGAAGTTTGGTGCAGGGTGATCACGCCCTATTCGACAGCGGTACTAGACGAGGTGGTTTTAACTGTGGGAGTGAACTATCCGGTGTCGATGACGGACGAAGTGGAACTAATATCTCCTCCAAAGCCTGTCCAGAAGAGAAAACCCCGGTCCCACAAGGTTTCGGAGAAGAACCTTTCTGTCTCCTTCGACAATGACGTTCCTTTGGACAGTATTATTCAATTTCCTGATGAGCCAGAGGCGTTACCGAAAAATAACTCATTACCTGATTTACCTAGTCGTTTAAAGTCGATAAACCAAGCTAGCGAGATTGTGAAATCCGAAACCATTGAAATTCAGTACACCAAGTTGGGTTCCGACAGGAGTCGTAATTCCATGGAGCTTAGTTTTTCATTCACCGAGTCCTCCAGTTTTCCGGATTTGAATAGTCCTCCGCTTCATTCGAACAGTAGTTTTCAGGCAAAGAGTCCAACGCAAAAGGGTGCATTTAAGCACAAGATGGTAAAGATCTCGCAGAAGGAGAGGAAGAGGTTGTCATCGGGTAGCAATAATGACACTAGTAACGATAGCGCTTCCATAACAGGTAAGTAGGTTACAGAATCGTTCTTTCTATCTTATTTTAACTTTTAGGCCAAATCGGTTGTCTAAGTTATAAGTCGTGATATACTCGATATCAAATATTCAAATTTAACTGCAAATACTACGGTAATAAGTAATACCAAGTAAGCTTTTATTGATAACTTACATTGTGCGAGATAATGAAAATTAGAATTAGTGAAAACAGATGGAAGTTGGGTTGGTTAGTTTCAGATGTATCTCTCTTCTATTAACTCTACGATAATTAGAAAAAAATCCATATTCTCTAGATGAATAATGCCCATTCTGGCAAAACATTAGAAAATATTGTTTTGGAAGTACAGATGTAATGTACGCTGGTTTTTTGATTTTGGAACTTGTTCAACAGGAATTTTAAATTTATGATGAATACTTTTACATCATCTTACGTAATGTAATTCAGATTTAGATAGATGAAAATGTAAAATAAGACGCCTCTGTTCTATTGACTGTTAGGGAGTCTGAAAAAATATTAATGTTTGTCAAATAGGATATTACAGAAACTGTTAAATGATAAGAAGTGTTTATACAAAATACTATTTGACAAAACACTTTGGGTGTGATCAGATATTACACACTGTTTCAAAATAGAACAAACCGTAAATTTATAAATACTTATATTCTTCTTTAAAATCCTTCCAACTTTTTCAACAAATATGATGTCTTCGTGCCACATACCTCAAATAACATGTTACGAGTACGAGCTTTGTCGACAACCACATCAACTACCCCTTTTCATGTCTATTTTTAAAACATTGTGAAGTTTGGCTGTCAAAACGAATTGTTTCAGAATCTTACCTGTTGAGCATGGCTGTGAGCTACGTTGAACTGAAGACAGAAGAATAATCCGGAGCATAAAGTGTATAAGAAAACTTATAGTTCAAATGTTTTTTACCACTTTTATTTGTAACTAACGTTGTTAATGCAGTTTCGTCCTATACGGACATTTTCAAACTTACACAATAAACTTTATTGTATACAAATAAAAGTGGTAAAAAACATAGAAAGTTTCATTTCTCTTTTCTTCATTATGATTTCCTACTACGTAGTAATGGCTAGATCCATCAATTTATCAAATGTTGAAAGTTAGAAACCCATAAAATGACGAATTTTCAGCAACACCGCTATAGTTTCTTTTGACGCGATCAATCTCATTTGTAAATTGATTTTTTTTTCTCTGAATAATTTTTCAGCTTTGAAATTATAGTATGATCTATAGTCACTCTGTTTTTAATAAAGTGATATAAACCCATTCAGTTTTTGCTGCACCTCAGAACGATCACGTTGAAAAATAATATAATTTTCTGCTTTTTATCACTGTAACTTCTTATCGGACGTGTTCCAACGCTTTGTAAGAATCATTCTCAAAAGTATATAACTATTCCTAAACATTTCAATCCATGGATTGAATACAGTTTGTACATTTTTTCCAGTCACCCCTAAGAATCCCTGGAAAACCATTCCCGATGCATCTAGTCCAGCAACGTCGACAGAATTGAAACATATAGGAGACATAATATCAGATGAGAAGAAACAAAAGGAGAATCTGGTCAAGCTCACTACAAAATCTCTAGTGTGCACTCAGGTATGTAAGAAGTTGAATGATCTATTTTCAACTGGGCGCCCAACGTGAGGCACGATTAAAGTACCTTTTTTTCAGTTGGAGGATAAGGCGATAGATGATCTGCACAAGTTTTATAATACAGAAAACCTTGAAGATGAAATAATTGTCATTGAACGAGTTAATATTGGTGCCATTGCTAGACCCGTGTGGGTACCAAGAACGAAGTGACTCCGCTTTGTTATGTGATAAAAATTTTAGATTATATATCGACATAAAAATAAGTTTTATGGCTCTGTTTTTTATTAAAGTTTTATTTTGATTTTATTTTGCATTTTTCCTTCCTGATAATGATAGGTCACAAAGTTCAAATCTTTCAAGTTTTATTACTCTTTAAAAAAGATAAATCTTGCTCTCTTTCTCTCTCGCACATAGTCTTCTAAAGACCGCACTTCTAGTGGGTGGGACCATAACGGAATTCAGAAAGCTCTTCCTACATTTGACAAGCTGTACTTGGGTTTTGAAACTTCTGTTTACATTACTGTTGATTTGAGAACTTATTTTATTGAAACATTTTACCCCAATGAAATCAAAAGACCTTTTACAGGTTGATAACCTTGAGAATGGTTCATACAGTTATTTTACGAGTAGTATAAGTATGTGGATTACACTTTTTTGCAAAGCTAAATTCGTTTGTTAAAGTACATTTCAAGTTGGAATATGTACACACAGGATAGCTTTAAAACTTCAATTTGCTTGAAGCATCCTCGGGGGTAAACCTGAATATAGCTCGCAAGATTTTCTTTAGGGATATAGAGTGAGATGAGGAACCCAAAAGATCAAACCTTTCTGACGTATTGAATTAACCAGTCCAAAATAGATTAGCCTCAACATCTTTAGTGATACTGTGTCTAATATCTTCTTGGAAATAACATGTGCTCTATTCAAAAATATATACAATATGAAACAATGAATTTGAAAATTGAACTCAACAGGTAGTCAGACATAATTGACACAAAACATTAAGTTTGACAGAATTTCTTGTTCTGACCAATGCATTGCTGCCAATGAGATTTCACAGAACTGTAAAATGATGAATCACAGAGAGTGAAGGTAAGGAGTTTCTGTTCTGAAATT